AAGAGTTTTTTTTTTATAAATCCAAGTGATTTATTTTAAATCAAGGTACAATTGAAAATCTCTTATAAAAGATTAGAATTATTTTTAAACATTATATGTTTTTTATATAACGCTCCAGTTTTAGGAAATCAAGACTTGTGTATAATTAAGAACAAAGAAAAATTTATGTTTTATTTATTTGCAAACAAAAAGACGATAGTAGATATCTTATTTCTATACTCTTTTATTAACAAATTACAACTGTGATTGGATAAAACATAAGTATAACATTTTTATGTATATTATATGCTCTATATTATGTTTACTTTTTTTATTGTAATAATTAATTATATTAACATTACCAACATTTTTAGGTTTGCCATGACTTAAAACCATATATGACAAAAAGAAAAGCATTTAAGATCTGCTAAAGGTAGAAATAACAATGAACAATATAATCTTGGAATTTGTTATCTGATTGAAATTGGAACTATGAAAAAAAAAAAGCATTTCAATAGTATATACAATCCGTAGAAGGTGGAAATATTGATGACAATAAACATGATATTGAATTTTCTTATCTAAATGGAATTGAAACTACGAAAGATGAAAAGAAATTATTTTGCTGATATCCATAATAATTATTAATCCAGATTATGCTAAGGTAAGGGTGTCAATATAATTTATTTGATCTTATGTGTTTTTTTTAACAGTTTCTATTTCACAAGTCTAATAGTAATATTTTTAATTAATATATTTGATTATACTTTCACGTTATTATTGCAGGATTAATTATTTTCTGTTTTAAAAAGTCCTTTAAAAAATTATTTTATTAACTTTCAAATAATAATGCATTTTTTTTCTTTTTTTTTTGTCACGGGACCCGAACCGCCCTGGTGTTATCAAAAAAATGCGTGATATTATTACTACAATATTGGCTAAAATAATGAGGTTATATATACATCATTTGACTACGAATGCTTCACCCAGTTTGAATTGCGGAATTTTTTTCCTTCTGATTGTAATATGATGAGAACATTTTTAATTTTTTCTACTTGCGAAGTGCATATAAATTTTGATATTTTCTATTAATATTCTTATACTGTACATAGTTTTTTTCGGTAAGCCGGATTACATAAACGTGCAACCCAAGCCTTATTTATTTATCATTATTGTTTATACAGTATGAGATTGCTAACATCACTAATCACACGAAAATTACTTAAATTTATAAATACCCAAATTATGTGCCGTTAGCTGAAACATTTTTTTTTTCATTTTAAACGCTAACTAATTTTGGAACTTCGTAACTTATATATACGATGATATCTAATACCGAAGAAATCATGGTATTTAAAATTCAACAAATTATATATATACGATGATATCTAATACCGAAGAAATCATGGTATTTAAAATTCTACAAATTATATATTTTTTAAGTATTTTTAATGAGTTTCCAGATTTTTTGCATCGTTTTAGGTGATGCCATTTGGAATTCTTTCCCGGTTGATGTTCGTAAAGACACGACCGTTGCGCATCTCAAGAATACCATCAAGAAGTTGAATGAAAATGATTTTGCTAATGTTAACGCAAATAAACTGAAGCTATGGAGTGTGAATATTCCTACCTCAGGTGAAGATCTGAAAACCAAAATATACGCCGAAAATATCGAAGAACAATACCAAGGTGTAATAATATCTCCATTCGAAACTGTTGGAGAATATTTTCACGGATCCTCTAATAACATCCGAATTATCGTACAACCGCCTATCACCACTAGTAAGTGTTTCCTAATGTTTTACTTCGAACAAGAAATTTGCCGTTACAAATTATCAATTTGGTCTAATTATTTTTTATCTAAACGCATTACATTTGTGATTTCTTTAATTGACTTTTAACTACTAGTCATGGATGCTATTAATATTGCCTTAAAGAAGGCTATTAATCTCAATATTGCTAGACCTTACGATAAAATGCCTTTTATGGAGCGTGACACCAATCAGGCAATTACAAGGATTATAAGAAATATTGGAAATCATCTTAAATGTTCTAAGGCCAAAGCAGATTTTGACATCCTTGTTAGTGGTGGAGCTCCTGGAATAGGTATGATCCTAATATAGTGTGTTCAATATGATTGATTCTACACGTAGTTATATCATAAATCTTATGTATAGGTAAAACTCGGTTTGGACAGGAACCATCCAAACACCTGGAAAATAGTCAGAACGATTGGGTCTCATCGGGCTGCGGATTGCCTACGTGTTTTTATTGAAAGAAAATATGATATGAAGTTTATAACTTTTCGTGATCGAGTTTGGGAATATAGAAATATTTTCAAAAATCCCCAATGTTTTTGATTGTATTTATGATCATATAATCCAACCCGATCAACAGCTCTTGAATAAATACCTTAAATAAATTATACAAAAATAGAAAAATATTAATTACATAATATGACTACTGCGGATCGCGATCGAAACATAAATAAGGAAAGAATCGTCATTCCATCTTTACTGTAAACCACCAAATGTCTTCCTCCAAAATAACTCAACACTTTCGTAGGACCATTTTTCCAACTCACTTCGTTAACCGTCGAGTACGAT